TGTGAAATATCTGGGAATTATTAAGCAGTGTAGCAGAAATTTAGTTACCAGTTGCCAGGAATAGTAAATCCTGTTTACACAAGGCTCTTTTTTTTCTTCTTCTTTCCTTGATTCAGATGGGTCTCAAGGATTTCCTGCCCTATGGATCTGCAGTTCCTAGTCCAGCAGCAGCAGGGAAATGGGATCCTCCTAGGGTACCATCTTCACTCTTCATCACCCTCCACTCCTGCCTCTTCTGCTGCAGCACAATTGCTGCAGCTCTCAGAACTGTCCAGCAGGGGAGGCTTCCCCTGCCCTTCCTTTCTTTTTATCTCTGTAGGACTTCCACAACACTGCTCCATCCCCAGCTCACCTGACCCAAAACCAAGGTATCCAGGACTTCCTCCTTGGAACATCAAGAAATTAATTTTAGCTGTTCCTTGACACAAAGCCATACTTTAGAGATAGAGGCAAATAACAACAACAAAATTACTTATTAGAATGTCAGAGAAGGTTTGGGGTTTTTTTTGTTGTTGTTGTTTTTTGTTTGTTTGTTTTTTGTTTGGTTTTTTTTGTCAGAAAGGTCCCTAGAAAGCACAACTAAAAGGAACTTCACCAGGGTAGTAACTAGGCTGGAGAAAATGTATCAGGATTTGAAGGTGCCAGTGTGACGCTGCAGCATGTGTCACATGTAATGGCACGAGTAAGGTGGTCCAGCCACCGCACCCTCTGCTGCTGCTGCCCCACATGTCCAGATCGGGGGATGTCAAGGACGTACTGCACTGGCTGTGCCTGAGTGGAAACACAGGCTGGGGCACTGCTGGGGGAATGTGAAGTTTCTCACTGACTGGGAGAAACTGGTGGAATGCAAAGTAAGTGGAGAAGCATTCAAGGCCATAGTTCAGAGGGTGTGTGTTACTGGTAACTGCTTGTACTGCAGGCTGGCTCTAGTGTATGGGACAGCAAGGAATCCTTCTCCATCTAGGCATGTTTTGTGCTCAGGACTTATTTATGTGTTTTGCGAGACAGCTCTTTTGGATCTGTTATGTGTTATGTTTGTAATCGGAACAGCAGATGCTCCTTAGAGATTTATAATGTGGATATAAATACTAAGCTGGGGGTCAATTGCAGGCTGCAGAAAGATGGTTGTTAAAGCAGTGAAATACACTGTATAACAGAGTGTCTTTTGCTTGCTTACGGAATGCAAGTCTGAACAAGGATCAGGATTTGATCACAGTCAGGTGCAAGAGAAACTTTTAGAAAAGTTCACAGGGTGTGAAAGCATTTGCAATGGGTCTTGACACCAAGCAGCATCTCATCTTAATCCAAAACACATCTCAAATGAAAGCCTTCTTTAAAAACTGTTAGAAGTTTAGACTAGTATTTTATCTGGAATCAGGGGATTGTTAAATATATTAAAGACTGTAACCATGTATGAAGTGGAGTAACAGTTCCCTTTTCCCTCTTCCAACATTGCCAAACTTAACTAATCAGTCATAAATATTCCATATTAAAATTCTGCCTGAATCTGTACTTATTTGTATTTCTGACAAAACTCTGCAAATGTTTTTGAAAAACAAAAGAGGAAAGAAGCTACATTTATGGGGAATTAGGGCAAAAACATCTGCACAAGCCAGAAAAAAATAAAAAGGAAATTTCACAAAAAATTGAGTCTCAAACAAAGAGATAACATGAAGGATGGTAAGAATGACTGTTCAGTGCATTCCATATGACATTCACAGCGGTGCTATCAAGTTAAATACAGGCAGATGGACAGAAAACTTTGGGTTTGGACAACCATTCCCAGAACCAAGATAATAGTAAGACATAGCAACACCTAAAAAAACATTTGCTTGATACAAGTCTGGATAATTCTACACTTGGACAAAAGGCCTAAGTATGAACAGTCCTACAATACTATTGCCCTTGCCAGGCAACAAGCTTGTGAGACTTTAACTTCAGGTGTTTAAAACCCAGCAGTCTTTTCAGGAACTGCAGAGCACAGCATAATCCAAATGGCTCAGCACTGCTGTCAGCAGAATCCGAGACTTGATAACTCAGGCCTGACGAGGGCTTGTGAGCTCTGCCAGGCTTCTAGAACTACCTGTTGGTTTAGCACAGCAAAACCAGAAGAGTCTTCTGTATTTTAACAGCAAGGTATTTAAAAAAAAAGCTTCTGCATCATCAATAGTTACATGTCCCTGCACATGACAGGGGTTTGGAACTAGATGATCTTCCAACTCAGCCCATTCTATGATTCTATGATACAGAAAGACTCAGCTACACCTGGCAGAACTCATTCCATACTTGACAATGTAAGTTCTTCATATACTAACTCATTTACCAGAAGTGCAGTTGGATCTATTAAGCTCATTACTTTTATAGTTTTATTGCTCACACATGTCTACAATTACAAAACAAACTGAAAAACAGGAAATTCCAATTAAACATGAGAAAACATTTCTTCCTGTGAGAGTGGTATGGGTTCACAACAGCACCATATGCTTGGGTGTGTATCCACCAACTTCAACCATGCTGGGATTCTATGAATCCTTATTTCCTGTTCTGTTGAACATTTATGGAATAATTTAAAATCAAAACTTTAGATGGCCTTCGCTTTAAGTATTGTCTCAAAGAGCACCTGTAAAAAAGTAGTCTTGGAATTCTAATCCTTATTTGATGTTTTAAAAATGATATATCTCGGCTCTTTGCTGAGGCATACTCTGTCACAGACTTCCGCCTTTTGCAACATAAACCATAAACAAAGACACCTAACAAATCCACACAGTGTGTCTACATCATATGGTCCTCACTGGTCTTCTACATTTAATCATAATTGACAATTGGCTTTGACAGGGCCTGATAACAGATACAGATGTTGAAAGCTGTGTCTCTGTTAGCATGTGGCTGAACACACAGGCACAGAAGTGCTTTTTAAAACAAAACTGTAAGTTCTCTCTTTTGAATTTGAAATACAGTATCTCCCAAGGTATTTTTTAGTGACAAGATGTGGAAAGGAAGTGAATGAAAACCAAGTGGACACAAATTTTAAAAATCTTGCCTTATGAACACAGTATAAATCTTACCATGCTAAAATTATGTACCTAAAATTCCACCATCGCATAGTAATTCACTTGTACCCAAAGAAAGCCCTTCAGGGATCAGTTTACAGCCATGGAGGTAGGATGGCAGTGCTCATTATGAGTTGCTTTGATTTTTGAAGAAGCACAAGCAGGCATGCACAGCAAACTCAGTAAATCCTAAGACGATCCCCAGAACCAACTGCTACTGCAAACTGGAGTTACTATGCTGTGGTAATATGATGGCAATAGCACATGTTCCTCTGGACTCTACATCAGCAAATCAAACTGTCCAAGAACTGGCTGGTCTGGCCAACTACTTGCAAAAGAACTGGTCAATTGTCCTATCAGTGCTACTCTCAATCTGAATACGCTGTGAGTCCCTTGTGTGTAGTAAACCATGTAAAAGTGTAAAAGGCTATTTAAAATGCTGATTTCTCTGTAGTTAGTAGCATTTTGCTTGAAAATGTTTGAAGGAGACTACAATTTTTATAAAAATCAGACAGGCAGTATTTTAACCCATTTCTGGAGTTGAAGGCTGATACACATACATACCTCATACACAGAATATCCAGTATGTGTTTCTGTAATTTAATCAAGAACACCTTATTGGGCTGTTCCCATTTGCTTCCATATATTGACAAAATGAAGACATTCCACAGCAGCACCGAGCAAGATTATGGAGAATTGTGAGTTATAAACTATTTAAGGCTTCCTCAAACTGTTACTAAAATAATAACATCTAAACAAAATATTCAGATACAATGTAATACGTTTATTTTTTTAATCCAATTTGTAAAGGTCCCTTTTTAAACAAAACAAGAACAAAAAAATCAACACAATTCAGAGGGCTTATCTCATTTACCATAGTCTTCTCCACTCTTCACTTATAACACAAGCAGCAACTTATATTTTTAGTGCTCATATAGTGCACTTATATGAATTTTGATTTGTGTATTAAGCATTAAATACAATGTATTTTCTGTGAGCATAGCCCAAAGAGTACACAACATTACATTTTCAAAGCGTATGCTAAAAAAAAAAGACAATAAATGTATATCCAAGACAGTCAAACTCAAATATTTTGACTTGGCAAATTCTATAACAAGTAACAGCAATTTTAAACTGTGTACAAAGCAGAACAGTGCCAACATGCCTCCGGTCTGTGAGCTATGGTAAAATATCAAGCGCACACAAAAGGAGAGAAGCCAAAGAAACCCACCACAGAGCAAACCTGAGGCACACCCAACTGCGACCGAACTTTCCCACTCTGTAATGCAAAGAGCTCAACAACAACAAAAACCACTTCTACGCTACAGAAAGTGAAACAGTAAATTCTTCCAAATTTGTCTCCATATTTCTAAACAACTTGTTCAAAAAATTTAAAGATGAACATCTAATTATACCAAACAAATGTACAAACTATAAAGTCAGAGAAGCTCCAGAAGATTGCCACTTTCAACCTTGCATAGTGAGAGCTGGCATTGATATTGCTACCATAGCTTCAGCAGAAGATACGGAAAAGAAAAATCTTTACCTCTAAGTGATGCACATATGTAACATTTTCTTCACAAAATTCAGTTAAACATTGTTTTAATAAAAGGGAAAACACCTCTAAAAAGGGAAGGATAGTGTTCACGAGCTTAGAAAAAAAATACAAAACCAGAACATTCCGTAACAAAAAAATGAAAACAATAAACATTCCATCATGACAGCACCTATTATCACTAAATAAGCCCCATACATGCAACAAACTACAACTATTGTATAAGGCTGTCAAATTAAGGGTTTACTTTTCATATAAACAAAGTGTAAAAATAGCAACAAGTTGCGATCTTCAAATTTAATGCTATGTGAGGATTTTGTCTCCCCAGTTTCATTTGGTAGCAATTTCAATATGCATTTGATATAGAGATCTAGGAACCGTGATACAAATACATTGTGCCTAGGACAGTATTGTCGTATCTCTGTTCGACCTTGACAGAGTTGGAATGCTCAACAACACTACTAAGTTCGGGGATGCTTTCAGCAGTATCCCCAAAACCATGGTAGTGTCCATAGTGCAAAGTATCTCCAGGGTCTTCAACCCATGAGGGCCGGTTAGAAACACAGCTACTCGGGCTTCCATTCAGATGGAGAGATCCACACATCTCAGTGGAATTACTCATGGCTTTTTCTGGTTCCTCAGTGCCATTACTGGTATGAACTCGGTGCCTACTGGGGGAAGTTATTCCAGGAATGACTCCGTTAGGTGTTAATGCTAAGCACTCCTCACGCCTGGCATCCATCCCACTGAGCTGCTGTGCGGTGGTGAAATCCAAATGTCCATTGATGGCACATCCATTTGTCAGTGCATTCAATATGGAGCTACTGCTATTCATATCTGCATTAAGAAATACACCTGTCACCAACAATTAAGAATAAATGGAAATACATAAAAATGTCTCCACTGTACTTCACTTATTTAAAAAACGTTTGCATACACAGCTTTGAAAATAAATCTACCCTTTCTTTATAACAATGTAGGCAGTTCAAAGTAATGAGAGCTGACCAGTAAGCTTGTAACATGGATTCTCATGTTGAAAATGCAACTGCCTATCTACATTCAATTTGTAAATATGCCTGTATTATTCTTTGCAAAGACAACGTGAACTCAGATTTTTTTTTCATTTAACTGTATGAAATAAGTGCAGCACACAACATTCTGGGCAGTGTTTTCAAAGGTGGAATAAAAGGCATCTTTCCACCTTAACTATAATGCCCTGTTGGGATGAAAGATTATGTACATACAAGAACTGAGTATCTGTGAGAGAGAGGGTGAAGGTTTGGGTTTTTTTCATTTTTCAGCTGTAATTTAACCATGGCTCTTTTTTTTTTCGTTTTAGTGGTAACTCTTACAGTACAATATGCACTGAAGTAAGTCAAATAAAGAAATGTTATGTTGGGGTGCTACTATAAAATGTTTCTAAGTTCCTTTATTCAAAAAGTACTTCAATTTACCTAGCAGCTTCCCAGATAACATACTCGGCAGCTTTGTATTTAATAAGTTTATAATAGCATCTGTACAAACCACATGCAAAATGCCATACAACAGCAAGAGAAGAGTGCACAGAAGACTAAAAAATGTTATTAGCAGGAAACAAAATTCTAAAAATGTGCATGCAAAACCAACTGTTTTGAAGCAATTTCTCCTTTGAAGTTAGAAATTAGTACAATAGGTTTTGTTTCCATGAACAGATTTCATCAGTCTGTCTGAAAGGCATGGTTTTGCAGTGGTACTCAAAAGTACTAGCACAAAAAATGCATGATATATTCTGCCTTAAAAATAAAATTTATGTCTATCTATATTGGTGAAGATGAGCAAGGCAAGCATGGAAACTACAGACCTATGTGGTGACATTTACAGATTTTACATTCCGTGGTTATCCTTGGATACATGCACATATGTTTATGTCCACACTGAACGCATAAACCCATGTGCAGAACAGGACTGCATTTACTGCATGGATCCAAATCAAGCCAGTCTGTTGGCAACTTCCCACATTTGCATAACACTGGGCTCCAATTTAAGTGACACATAATGAGTACCACTGTTTGACAAGGAAGAATATGAAGTTTTGGTTCTCTATTAGTGTTTTGCATGGCTATTACTTGAAATATGTATTACAATACTGATACTCCACAGACAACAATACATAATGCCAAGAAATGTGTTCAAAGTTTGTAACTCACTGGATTTACTAACTGGAGTTTCCTGTTTAGTCCCTACATAAGTTAAAATAACCACATCAGCTGAACTCACTAACCACGAATTCTTGTTGAAAGTGGAAAAAACCCCCACAAACTCATCAAGACATCAAATTTCTAATATTTCAGTGATGAAAACGCACAGAAGGAATTTCATATAGTGTTTATTAACTGAAAAGTGCGAAGTTTTAACTGTTTAAAAATCAACCATTATAGGCTGGCTTTGCCCAATCAAATCTAATAAAATTGGCACTTCTGTTAGTTAATATGCAAAAAGTAGGTAATGAATAGTTCTAGTGATAATTATAGAATGTTATTATTTGTTAAAAATGAGCACCTATAGTAATAGAATATATTTATGAAAGACAATAATTTTTCCCTAAATAAGAACACTTAGTAATTATCACTGGAAAATATCATAGTCTACTTCTAAAGTGTTGATTATATATATGTATATACGCTTATTCCTAATATATTAAAATACCTATTAATTATCATTCCCTTTGGCGAATCTGATCTGTGGTACAAAGCATAAACAAATTTATGGCGGAACCAATCAATAAATAATAAGAAATTAATTTCTGAATGTAATACTGCACTATCATAGTAACTCCATGTCTTAACCTACAAAGAGCAAGGAAAAAGCTGACCCACGACAGTTTTAATCAAACTCTATACATATCCTGGGGTTACCAAATGCATCTTAATTAAGCAGCCCTTAAAAACCCTAGCACATTAATATTCACTAATACTAGTAACATTTTGATTGTCTCATGAAGATTGGTACAAAACACAAAAACTGTTTTCCAAGGTGCACTTGTTCCAAACAGTAGTTTAAGACCTGTGATGTCCAGTCTTTTATTTACATAAGTAACCCCATAGTAGGATCCTGCACTTACGCCATTGTGTCTGAACAAATTCTGAAGATACGATGTACGTCTAGATTATTCTTTACAGTATTTGTTGTAATATTTTGAATATAGCTTTGTCATAACATGTTATTTTCAAAGCTAGGATATGTTTCTGTATCAAGTCTTGTTATTAGCAATTAAATCTATTTAATCAAAATTAAATGAATAATTTAAATTATTTCTGTATTTCCTTTAACCTGAAAGTATAGCAACAAAAAGCAAGGCACAACGTAATACAAGCCTCAGGTTAAAAGTGAAACAGTCATCGTGGATTTCTGTTTATCTGAAATACTAAAAACCAACTAATAAATCTTCTCTTTCACGATTACAATACATTGTGTGAAACAGTTACTTTTTGATGCCTATTAAACCCCCAGAATAATGGGTGTTACAGCAATACAATAGTTTCCAAGACTCTAGACAACAATGTGCAAAAATGAAGGGCTAAATTTTATACTTAAATTAAAAATAAAATGCATATTGATTCTTGCAACGACAAGGAGTTTGCATTGCAGAAACAGTGTATATTTCAATTTCTTTTGGTCCAACAGAAGTACTCTCCTGTTGTTTGGTGTCTTCAACCATTTGAATGTTGTTGTAGTTAACAGGAAACTGTCCACTCCCACCTGATACAACAGCAAACTCTCTATCAACGTGCATATTGTCAGCATCGTCCTCAGCTCCTCCATTCATCACTGGTATTAAGCCATCAAAGCTGTAAGCTGATAAAAAAAGGAGTCATGTTTAGTCACTGGTGCCCACTTCAAAACTCAGCCAACAAACAGATGAGTACTTTGATTATTAAAGCAAAAACTTTACAAAGAAATGTAAATTTTACACATCTGAGAGCTTCTGATGTTCCAGATTCAAAATGCAGAGTAAATAACTGCTAAGTACTTGCTCATTCATTTCAATTCCTCAAAATGGAGAACTATCAGAGTACCTATGAGATTTTGCACCTACACATCAAACTTACTAGTTTGGTGAGCTAGAGCAGTTGAATAGAGAGCAATTTAAGTTACTCATGTTTAGGCTTTACAGTTAGTGTCCCCAACAGATAAAAAGTAGTCTCTACCTCACAATTGTCTACTGTCAGTCTGGACTATTCCCTCTTTCACTCCCAAGGGCCAGGTCCCAGTAATTCACCCATTTCCATAACAGACTGCTTCACGGATCCCTTTAAGAGCCGAACACACAGTTCTGTCTTCTGAGATAAGCTGGCAAGTGGTGAGACTGCTGTGGGGAATGCTTTAATAAGCAAGATGGGCTCAACTTCACTACTACTTCTTATACCTACTACCCAGAGAGCTGCTCCAGTTCTATCCCAGCAGGTCCTGCCTTGCTCTCACACTGGCATTAACACATCTTGCTATTTACACTGCACACACTCATGTTATAAAGGGCTGTTTTTGTAGACTGCAAGTCAGCTTTCATTATCTTGGGTACAATCAAAATTTTCATAAACTGTTCAGTTTTAAAGAACTTTAAGCAATAGCTAAAGTGTTCCAGGGCCAAAGAGATCACAGAGGGCTTAAATAACACCAGGGCCCTCGGATCACCGGGCTTCAAACTCCCTTAAACCAGGAAACTAAAGGCATTTTCTCCTAGTTACCTACAGGAATGTTTCATGTGCTGTTTCATGCTAGCCAAGTCAAGGGTGCACCTGGCAATGCTCTCCATCCCCACCTCACTCACCCAAAACAGCCATGATACCGATACAGTCAGTCACTGATTGTGTGCAGCAAGTCAGCACCTTTGCGCAACACACAGTGCAAAGCCAACCCATTGAGGGCTGACCAGAAGGGCCAGGATTAGGACTGCCATGAACAGTTGTGTGACCAGATGGCCTGGTGAGCAGCAGCATCATCATCATCATCTCTGACCCTGAGCACCACACTCTGCTGACCTGCCCAGGCAGAACAGTGAAATTTCTGGAACTGATTTCAGAAAAACACATAAAATCCAGCTCATGTTTTTAAGTCAAACCGAAAAACTACCTGGTGTATATCCTGAGAGCGGTCAACAACTTACTTCAAGTTCAGCTTCAGCCTTCAGAACTCATTTTTGCACTACCTTTGAGAGAGCTATTACTTTGAATCATGGCACATCATGTATCAGTGGCACTTAATTTTGAGGTCAAAGATTCAATACTATGCACCTGATAGCAGATCCATGTGTATGCATTTAAACAGAATTACAACTAATCCCTATCCAATGCCCAGTTTAGCTATTCCAGAGCAAAGTACAGCTTAAGCATTTATCTTCTTCCTACTCTACTGTTAAGAGGTTCTTGTATGGGACATATATTGTCACAAAAGGTAATTTTTTTCAAAGCAGTGGTTGTTCTGAATTGGGACATGGCCATCAACACCTGACTCTTACCTGCAAATACAGGTTGCTTGCACTCTTTGAACATCTGGAGTCTCCTGTGTAAATAGTCTTTAAAGCACAATAGATCAGTGTGGTTTTAGTAAGGGCAAAATTAACACGAAATTGGGCTTGTTTTGTAAAAAGGTCAGCTAGGCACAAAGATGTACTGATGACTTCTCATTACTCAGCTCTGTTGTTTACAAAAAATGCCTCAGGAACACTGACTCATTCTCACTGTAAGACTTTTTACATCAATACGATAGCTATTACTGATGCTGATGTCTCTGAGGGCAGACACGTCAGATTAGGAACTGTAGCTTTCACAGCTGAGATGTATCTCTTAGTTACTCCAAAAACCTTCAAGCAAATGCAGTAAAGCTTTTGCACTTGTTTGCAGAGGTCTTAAAAGTCATACTGGTAACGATTTCAAAAAATTATCTACTCAATTGCTTTTCCAACATCTCTGTAATTACTTGGGAGCTCCTGTTCACTGTACTGTCTTTTTGCTTGATCTAACTTATGCACTGGACCAACTCTTTATAGTGAAAGGTGATGCAGATACTGCTGTTTCATGGAAACACAGAGAGTACGCACAGCTAGCCCAGTGCCACCCCCACAGACTTTGGGGAAACGCTGCCTACGGACCAGCTTGGAGCCACATCCTGAAGCTGAAAGGGATGGTTCATTAGGAACGCTCAGGAGTGGCTCTTCAAAATGAAAGATAAATTTTACTGCAAGCAGTGCCTCCCGGTAGCAGAACATCAATGCACTGAAGACATCTTTCTGAAACTGTTATGGGCACCTGAATACTGGGCAAATTTTCTTATTCTGTATAGCTACTTAGGACATTATTCCCTAAGTCTCGCATTTTATTGCGCAGGGACTCATCTCCAGCATGAAATATATCATATAAACCAGCTACATGAAGCAACATATCCTGTTCATGACTGGCTATGAAGTACCCAGTTAAGGCCTCTGATCCTGCTATAGTTAGAAGTCACGGCCAAATAGCAAGTACTGAACAAATACTACAGTGTCAATCTTGATGTAATTATGTTGCCCATGTCATATTTAGAAACATGGTTTAGGCCTCAATCTCCCTCTTATTATCTGGAATTAAGCACTGTTTAAGCCCATTCTATTTGGCTCGCTGAAAGTCACATATGTTAGAATAACATCAATTTTAACTGAAAGAAGACCCTTCAACAAAAATGCATGAAGTCCCTTTTCCGATGTTAACCACAGGAAAAAAGGAGTTGGAGTGCAGAATTGCTGCTTTGTTTTTAGTAAGAATTTAATGGAATAGGCAAAAGAAAGGAAGATATTTTCTATCATGTTACTCAAGGTCTGTATAAGATGTAAAAAACTTTTTCATAGAGCTACCAAAAAATATCTTTGGGTTGTACTATTGTGTCATTGCTGGCAGAGAAAGCACCAGTATCCTCAATGCACAAGGCTGAACAAGAGTCCTTAAGACTCATTCTAGTCTTACACCCTCTGCTAAAACAGCAGTTCCCCTTGGAGCATGATCCTGGAAAGTTGAGGTATGTTAGCTTACAGACATAATCCCTCTTGATTTGAGAAACCTTTCTGCCTTAAATTTCTTTTATTCATCTTACCTAGCACAGAGTTTCTGAATTGTGAATTAATCCCAAAGTGGAAAATTACCATCAGAACACCCGGGCATCTACGTGAATCAACGCAATGTTATTTGGCTCTCCTGAAGGTGAAGAAACTGAGGAAGGAGTAGAAACTAATTTTAGCTCCTACTCCTCTGCATAATTATTCTTGGCATCGTGCAGCTACAGCACTCTCTGGAAATAGAAATTTCTGAACATGCCAAGATGATGACAGGGAGAACTGGGATCTTGTGGCATGGAATTATATTCATCTTCTTCTTGGATTAATATGTAATTTAGATATGTGAGTTTGTCAATAATACTCAACATCCACTCCAAAAGGCTTTAAAATGTTTATTTTCCTTTCTCAGCAACAGTATCAACCCACCCCTTTTACCTCTGGGGTCTCACCTTCTGTTCTAGCCTTCTTTGCTCCAGCAGACTCCGTATCTTCAAAGGATCTCTTTCGACTAGTCCCACCACTGAATGGATTGGGACCTGCATTCTGATGAACCCCATTTAAGGTGCCATTGCTATAGAAACGATTCAGGTGACTGTTCTGGAGGTTCAAGAGAAACTGGGCACATTCTTGGAAGCCCTGGGTATGTGCAAGGTCTGCTGCTGTCAGGCCACTGGCATTTCTCAAGCTGTACAATACAAAGAAACTGAATTACACTCATTCATCACGCTAGCTTGCTGCTGCTGCTGCCCTTACTATCTATCTGCAGGTGATGAGAGAAAACATACACTTAGCAAATTTCCATTAAGAAATTAGTTATTAATCTTAGTTTTATAACTAACTTTACTTTTTGCACATATATCTGGCTTCTAAGCAAAATTTGGGAGACAATACACTGTTAAATAAAATCAATATACTATGTGCCTTAAGCCATCTTCCTATTTAAACTTCTCAAAATGCTTTATTCTAAAATAGTCTGAAGTATCTGATCTTTACATAAACTTCAGACTAATTAAGTGTTGAATTTTACCATCTTCTGCATTTTATTCTGCAATCTATTGCTTTAACGTGAGCAAAAGATCAAATACTCAAACAAACTTAAAATGACTTGGCAATTGTCCATGGCATTCTGGTTTCTAAGGTAACAACAACATCACTATTCTTCCTAACAACAAAATATATACATATATAGAAAGAGATAGATAGATAAAGATGCTATACTTAGTTATGCTTTGCTTATACTTTTGTTTCTGGTTTGTTTCTCATTTCAAAGTGTGTGACATCATAAGTACTGGGACTTGCTTTGTTAATTTGAATCAAGACTTTTCTGTGCATGAAAGAATGGCACTAATTTTGAATATTCTAATACATCAAGGAGATTATAAATGAAATCATGGAGGACATGTAGAGAGGTAAAAGTTTAATCTGAAGAAGTACTCTATATCACATACAATTACACAAACATACAGTACATTGTGTGCTTATAAATTTAGGCTAACTTCAAAAGGAAGAGCATAAAAGTGGAGATGAGAGGGCCAGAAATGACAAAACTAGATGGTGAAGCAACAGATGCTAATCAGTCTTTCATAATATTTTTCTGCCTTTCTAGACAGATGTAACTAGTCAGAAAAATTGAATTTTTGTTTCTTGGCTTCAATAGTTTAGACAAGTCCATTACTTAAAAATCCAGAAACAGACCAGCCAACAGAATAAGAATTCAGGAGATTAACAGACCCGATCCTCTTGAAACTCATATGAAATAGAAAAGAACTCAATCCAGCTCATATGAAGAAATCAAAGAACAAAACCCAAATTTGCTTCCTAGATCATTGTAACTTATTTGCTATAAAAAAGAGACTTTAGAAGTTGCCTGCTGCAGCAAGACTATTTCCATAAATGGATAAATCAAAATACTACAAAATCATAAAACCTATTAGGCTAGACCAGGGTTAATTTCATTCCATTCTACACTATTGTAAGTCACCACTAACTTGGACTACTAATGAGAATCCAGAGAACAGTAGTCAAGAGTGGTCTAAAAAGTAAGACTCTGGAAGACTGAAAAATCTAGTTATGCAAAAGAAATGAAACTTCAAGGTGGAGGTATTACTTTTGAATACCCAGAAGACAGCTGAAAAGAGGATCTTCTGTCCACCCAGTGCAGGCACTATAAGAATGGGATTAACAAAAACAAAGGATAATTAAAGAGAGGCATCAGGAGAAAGTTCTAGAGTATAAATGCTGCTGGATCTTGAGAGGGGTCTCTTTCTCTCCTCATTTTAAGAGCAGCCTATGATTTCAGAAATTCTGCAAAATACAGTCAATCCTTTCCCATGCTGAATCAGGTGGTTTGTTGAGGTCCCAGCTAACACTCAATGCTTTTAGTAGTTCTGATTCACTTGTGCAGCATACAGATGTAATACAATGAAACTACAGCTGGAGAAACAGAAATTTCAACAGATCTGTTTTGGTCAAAAAAAATAGCTCAGTTCTCTGAAACCTGTTTTAAATTTGCAAGCCTCCAAAGAATAACAAAGGAGATCTAAGCAAGAGCAAATTAAAGATACACAAAGAGAAAAATGACAAAAACAATATGGTATTGAATGACCACCTAATTTAATAAAACTTCAAGGAGTCAGTAATTCTATTAGTTAGCAAATATTATTGAAAAATAACTCTGCTTTGAAAAGTTGACTGTAAGGCAGACTAGAGTTCAGTAACTATTCCTCAAAGGAACGTCAATATGAGATGCCAGAGGCATTTAGAGATGTACAAAGATCCAAGCGTGTAAGGCTACATGACCAAACTCTAGGAAAGAGTAATTATGTTTTCCAGACAAAAAATAAATGAACTTAAAATATTTTGTCATATTTTAAAATGTAATGAGCTTTGATATTTTAAGATCTGTCCCATCTTGAAGCGATGACTCTTAACAGGGAGACAAAGATGTACTTGTTCTACAGAAGTAGTTTGAAAGCACTGCATAGGTTTTTAGGGGATTCAAGCCCACTGGACATAACATTCTTGCTTCTAAGAGTTTAGAAACCTTTCTTATAAGTGCTAGCCTGAATTTAGCCTATCAATTTCAAGAGAAAGTCCTGTGTTCAGAAGTCACTAGTGGAAAAACAGAAAAAAGTTCAATCAAATAAAAGGAGATTACAGATTCTGGATGACTCCAGAAACCTTTAGGTCAAATGCTAAGAAAGAGAACACAACTGTCAAATTCCCTTTGCTCCCTCACAGTTAGAACACTAATTTGAGTATCTTCTCTATATATCCACTTGTCGATGTTAAATATTTTAATCAAAGCTTGATTACTTTCAAATATTTTCAAATTTCAGCTAAACTGGTTTGCATTTCAATAATAATGGGAAGAAGATGAAAAGCTGACAAATTCTGAAGAAACTTTCTGTCACTTTCTCAAAACCAGGTTAGAAAAATAAAAAAAGACCTATTTCCTTAGCTGATGTTTCTAGTCTTCTCTAGGAGGAAAAATCTGTCAGTGGGAACACAAAAGGCAGCAAGGGCTAGCCATGCTATATTATACATGTTATATATATCATAACAAAATGCAAGTAATCCAAGAAAAAAACCTAACTCAACTAGGAACAAACTAGGAGAGGAAACACTCTTAACAGATATTACAGAATTTTACCAGACTAGAATAGCTTTATGCATTTCCAAAATAATTCAGAAATATTGTCATCACTATAAGGATTCTGAGTGTGATACAGAAAAATAGAGTGTAATACAATCCTCCCAGAAACCACGGAGTACTTGTATGAACCAAAAAGCTCAGACATCTATTAGACCATTCTTTAAAAGCACCAACCTGGACTTGGAGCAGAACCACCCCGTTCCAGCAGAAGTCACAAGGAAGGGGGAACACATCTATTACTAAATGTGCAGTGCATGGTCTGTCTCGAATGTTGCCAACGGCTGAAAAGGAAGCAGCTACCTGAACTTAGCCCAAGAGCTAAGAATGTAAATGTCATTTCTGTGCACAGTACAGTATAGATTATAGGGACAGAAATAGAAACGGCTAAGAGGAGTTCAAACTCTTATGTGCAATCCCTATGTCAGCCCTTGGTTATGAACCACAATTATATGTAAACTGACTGTCAAGTGAAAAGGAGAAACAGTAACTGAAAATTTATTTGGCTACTAAAGTAGACTGTACATGACACAGTCTGTGTGGTTAAAAAATAAATTAAAAAAATCAACAAGCAGAAAACTCAAAGAGATAATCACTATATTCAAGTAAATTTTCAACTACTTCAGTTATTAGGTGTCCCTTGCTTGAAAGGTACTTCATTTCTCATAGATGCTGACATAAAGAAAAAGAATAGGTAAAGGATATTAATAACTGAAAGTAACTTCAAGACCTGGGCTGTGAAAGAAAAACAGCAGGGAAAAAATGTAAACCACTGGACAACATGGACAGAACTACCTCAAATGTTATGTTTCTTGAAAAAAATTCTTTTCCACCCATCCTCCATTTTTTTAATAAGTTAAGAGTCCCTTCAGTACTATCTTTCATCTTTTACCCTGAACACCTTGAAATAGTGGAAACTCCAAAGAAGCTTGGAACACACATTTGACATAAACCTTCAGGTAAGCTGTCCTTTTGTTACTGCTAATCATACAGCAAATACAACAGCTCTATTTCTGTAACTCCGTTATTCAGAATTCAAAAATGAGAGCAGAAATTTCTTGCAGGTTTTTTGTTATGTAGGGTTTGTTGTTGGCTTTTTTTAACCTTTTTTTCCCCCCCGACAAATATGCCAAACTTGAGGACAAGCTTATGTTGCTTTTGGAGGTTTTTCTCTAAGGTAGGGGCTATCTAGTTCAAACAAGACAAATAGCAAGCTACACACACTGTGTTTTTCAAAGATGATCTTATGACGGAAGAACCTACCAGCATGGAAGGTACAGACGGATGCAACAAAGTCGTAAATAATAAAATCAGAATAAGCCTTGAAAAGTTATGTGGGTTTTACGATTAGTCAGCCTTTATTAAACAGCATTCATTGACTTGGTGCAGTATATTCATTGACTAGGCTGGCCTAGTTACTGTCAAATTGGACAGCTGTCCTCCAAAACCTTAATTCCCTTTCCCTTTAGTAAAAAAAGGAAAAAAGGTCAAAACCTGAAGACAACTCTGAAGGTCAGTCCAGTTCAGGAATAGGTGGAAAAACTGAAGAAAGAAGACTAAAGCTCTAAAAATATCATTCCCTTTTTGGCACCTACTCCAGACAGGAACGCACGTGAAGGCTTGAACTGACAAACAGAAGAAAAATTCCTTACTTAACATTGCCCAGGGCTAAACACAGTTTTGGTAAGTTGTCAGAAAGTCAATCCACTCCATGTTTAGAAAACACATACCTTGCATCCTTTCCAAAGCAATTCAAGTATCTGAAAAATGACTGAGTCTTGTTAAGGTTCTTTCACATGGAACCCCTTTTTGGCTTTACAGTTTACTCACTGTTTCCATGTAATTCTTATTAATAGAAACAAATTAGAATCATGAAGCATGATATTATTTACCCTCAGCCTTCTTGTAGGCTAAAATCCAGGAGCTGGAAATGAAGACATTTTGTTTTCTTCAAAGTACAGAAGTATAAGATGCTAACTCCAAAGCAAAAGAAGAAAGACAAATGTAACTGGAAGGATACATTTCTGTATTATAAAGTTATTCTAAATGGAAAAAAATCCACGAGAAAAGCTGACGGAAGTCTGAATACGGATAAGTAGGTGATCTTGAAGTTCCTTGACAGATGGGACTTGAATTGTTGTGTAGTGACAGGTGTTTTATAAATAAACTCAACATGTGCACTGATATATTGAATTAAAACTCTGACTTTTGCATATACATTTATTCACACACCTAACAGTGCTTAAAACAACACTCTTGTAACAAATTTTTCTTCTTCCATCAAGTGATGTCCACAGGAAGTCTTCAAAAAGGACTAAACTTGTTATGAAGAAGTCTTTTTTTTTTAATACCCATTTTTCTTCCTCTGGTTGACATCATCTGAACTCCCATTCTAAAGGCTGAGTTCACCTGAGAGTCTTGGTAATCAAATTAAAGCAGCTACAAAGAGAACACTGATGAAGCATATGTTTAGGTATTTCCTTCTTCTGAAATGCATTTTCAAAAATGTTGGGTGGCAGTGCAACTCAACTGTTGTTCAAAACCAAAAGAGACAAATGTATTATCTGATCAAACAGGATTGGTGTACAGAAACATGAAATTTACTTCCATTTTAGATTTATTTAGCAGGATGTTTCTATTATTTCAATCTAATCACAATTTGTTGTTTTCAGAAGTTCACTAAAGGAAGGAAAAAATCTGATGCAAGCTCATAATCAAGACACTTCCACTATGGTTAAGTCAGGAATAATTAAAAAAACCCCAACAACTAAAAACTTAGAATTGTTTAAATATCTATATGCAAGAAAGATTTGCTTCACGACAACTTACAAAATTTACCCTTCAAAAGATCTGTACAAAGAAAAAGACTTGTGCTTCTTGTATTGGATTCTAAATTATACTGAATTTATTTTTAAAAAAATTGCTTCTAAGTTGCTTCAGCTGTTCCTTTTTCATACTCATTGGTGGAAAAAAAGCTGTGTTTTTAAAATTTGAAATACAGTATCTTCCACTTATAATGTCACATACCTTGAAAAACAAAACAAACATTTGCTACAAAAAGTCAACAATAAATCTTTTTGAAAAAACATTCATATATGTAAAAAAAAAAAATCTCCTAAATGTTTAATTTGAAATAGTGATTACAGTGCCTACAGCTCCCTGTGTTTTTGTTAATGCCATGCGACAATCTAAGAAAATAAACCACAGTTTTCGTATATCAATGTAATATCTGTTAAAAATTACTGATCTCAACTTATCTATTGTTAGTTTACAAATAAAAATGTAGATAATTGTAAATTAGGGTAAGCAAAGCATGCAAATCTATAGATTCTATATCTGAATTCCTAGATTAGCATTAAAACCAATCACCGCAACAAATACCTCAACAGTATGCCTTGTGTGCAGAAAGGAAGCGATACTGAACATTCAATGCCACAACTGTAAGGTTTTCGGAGAAGCACCTGTGGCAGTTTCAGCAGTTTCTATATGGAATGCTCCCCCTTTCTAGGATTACTTGAAAAAATCAAGTCAATTCGAATTACGTAGCTGTAAAACATTGACACGTGTAGTTTTTACAGTTTCAGAATCTTCTGTTTGATTTAAACGGGCAATGGTGCATAAACAGGAAACTTATATCATAAGGGATCACATATTTGCAGGCAACATTAAGATTAAAAGTACATTAACATACATAAAGTGCTGTAGCACATTATTCAATATGTAAGCCATTACCATGTGACCACCTTAACAACAAGATACTAAGCCTTTTATGCCTTTTAAAGCATTATTACTTTCATCCTGAAACCAATTTGTCAGTTCTTCACTGAAATTTATACAGAATGGATTAAAATTACCGGTCAATTCATGGCTTCAATTACTTAAATTTAGTAGGCTGTATCTCAAAAGAATTAGTAGCTATTCCTATACAAAAATTAGCAGATACAAGGATTAAAACAAAACAAAAGAAGAAAGAGAAAAAAATAAGATCAGAATACTAAAACGCCCACAATGAGAAAAAAACGTTTCCTATATAAACAGCAGTATACTAGTCTAAAATTTCTAAAGCAAAATGATTTTAAAATACTAAACTTTCAGTGTTTTAACCCTTTGGTGTCCAAATACAGAAGTTATGAAATAGCTTCAAACTTTTTTTTTTCTTCCCAGATACCAAGAGAAAAATACTCTTAACTAAACAGATGTGTGTCACTGCTGGGGACAGCTATAAAACTTCATGCTAGAATTACACACTGGGCTTCTACAAAAGCACAAGTTGGTGCCAAGTTTTTATTTCACAACAAAGCATTTGGCAGTTGAAATTGTTTTAGACTTTTTATAACAGTGGTAGAGTTTCTATGAACATCCTCCAAAATCATAACAACATGAATATACTGGACAGAAGGACTCTTCTATGTGAAGCCACTTTTTCCACATAAAAATCAAGGTGAACTATAAATTCTGCAGCCATAATTAGCTCCTAGATACTTTAACTCATGACTAAACAAACGTTGGCAGAAGAAAGAATTCATTAACTATGGTAGGCAACGTTAGAATTACCAAAGCATCACCATCAGGTGGTGATTTAATTTATACTGTATTTCCATTTATATGCTTTAATAAAGACTTTGATCTACAGTATCTTTTGTAAAAAATATTCACATTTCCAAGTAGACTTCTGCCTCAATAATATAGGCCTGTCTGACTTGGCCTACTACCAGCAAGCAAAAACATTTTTAAATTCATATTTATTTATGTAAGAAGTGACTCCTGAATACAACTGACAAAGGGAAAGTATGAAAGAGAACACTGATGAAGCATATGTTTAGGTATTTATTTCCTTCTTCTGAAATGCATTTTCAAAAATGTTGGGTGGCTCTTGAAACAACAGTCTGATTGCAATACAGCATAGAAGACCTTTCCTATTAAAATGAAAATATTTCCTAGATCACTGGCAAAAATGAATTCCAAATAAGCATCTTCATAGTACCGCAGCCACTTTAAAGAGAATATAAGAGTTACCCAACTTATAATATAAGATATAGCTAACTCTCATAATATAAGAGTTAGCCAACCTTATGACAATGAGAATTATCAGTGCTGCTGCTCTGATGTTTCTAGAAACCAAGAAGGAGCTGCAGATAAAGTTGCTTACAATGAATAAAATGTTATGGAAAACTATGAAGAAAAGGTTCATTGCAAACTCTGACTTGAAAAGATAAACAATCTTGCAATACAGATTTGGTCAAGATGCCTCTAGCAGCAAATAAAATGATGCTCTTTCTCCTCAACATAGCAACTGAAAACCAATGTTAGCTTAGAATAAGAAAAATGAAGAAAGTAAGCTTCTCTCAAATGTGCTAAACTTGGAATAAAGTTCAAGTGATTCAGTACAAAAAGCATGGACAGTGAAAGCCTGTGAATAAAACTGAAGAGGTAAATTAATTTTAAGGTATTTTTGTGCCAAAAGGGGGGGGCAAATCAAGAATGAAAGGACGATAAGTATTAGATGGATTAATTATTTTCCCATAATAGAGGGAGATTACTGAACTACGTGATTTTTTTTTTGGTGACAAAAATAACTTGATGCTCTCATTCAAGCAGACAAAAGACCTTTTGGATTAAGAAACTGCTGAAGTACATAAAACCACTTGAAACAAGCTTCACAAGAAAGTTTTTCAAACTTAGATTTTCCTCCATTTAAAAGAAAACTCATTCATCATGGACAAGCCACCTCAAGAAAAGAGAACGAAGCTGAAACTGCAGAGTAACATTTTCCCTAAATTACAGCTGCCAAAGCTCTTTAGGGTTGTTAAGCTTCCATGCACTGAGATAGATCTTGTAACCAGTAGCACGTCACACACATTAGAAAACTTTTCTGACCAACCTGAACATGTTCTGGGCCACGTCACAACTAACTGCTGGTTTTTTGTCCAGGTACACAGGTACTAGTTCATCTGTGAACAACTTTACTAAGAAGACAAACTAGATCAGCAAACAAAATCCAAATCAACACAGCAGGTTAAAGCAAACATGTTGCAATCAACAATTCTCTCATCACATACCTAGTCAAAATGTATTGGCAGATCAAGCACAGCACCTGTACAGATCGTGACCACCACCAACATCTGGACTAACCATCAGAACTACACAGACTATTATATTTGGGAATATAAATATACTGCACCTTTGTCTCTTTCACTGTATTTAACTCTGGCCAAGTTCCACTTCATAACACTTTGGTTTCTCCCCTTGACTTAACTGCACCCATGTATCTGTTGCCAGAATAGCAACAGAATACCCTATCTTACAGAAAAAGTGAAAATCAGCATAGCATCTTAGTGAAGGCAGACACTGCCAATGAAAAAACCCAAACATTCCTGTCAGAAATCTGAGATATCCTCATAAAAAAGTCTTGGTAACACTTCAATGTTCTTTATCCAGTTCCTTTGGACTGAAGAAAAGTCAAGAAACCAGTGCTATGAGTCTTTTCACTGAAGAATAAGCTACCCCATCAAGCTCACACGTATTTTGTGACCTTCCTCTGTATGTTCCAGAAAGGTCATAAAGTAATGATGGACTTTACTTTATTCATAAGAAGCACAACCTCTCATAATTCTGCACTATTTCAGAGCTGATGTCAGTAACCACTGTTGTTATTCCACACCCATGAAGAATAATCTGCATTCAAATTGAACACAGATTCAGTGGTAAGAGTTTTCCTCAGCTTCCTGCAATTATCTGAAAAAGCTGTAACTGTGAAGACTACTGGTTTCCACACTGTTTTACTCTAAGACTGAGTCTCTCTCATTTTTTATCACTTACCCAGGCATATACATTCTACTTCAGTATTTCAAAATCTTTTCTTGAGACTAACCCCAAATTACTACCTTACTTCATGGTCACAAGTTCCTACAAGCCACCTTAAGTTCTTTTACAATCACAGAAACCAAATGTAAGAAACTATCAAGCTTTCCTTGCAATTTTTTTGCAGAATTAGTGTTTCACTACTGAAATGTACATGCTTTGTACACTTTGAATTTGTCTTTCTGCAAAAATTTTTATAAAGTGGGAAAGGCAGAACAAATTCTAACGTGTATACCCCTGTATTGCAGAATGGTCACTACAAGAATACCACAGTGATGGCCCTTAAAATGCTTGTTATGTACAATTAAACAAGAACTGCCACATTTGTTTCCTCAACTATACAGCACAGACTAATAATGCAACAACAGTAATTAATCCAGCAGTTTAACTGCTATCTGGACAGCAGGCAATCAGGTTTACAACAAGAATTTTGTATGAAGTGGTCCAAGTTCGAAAAGTACATATTATATAAGCATTAATATACTAATTAACAGATAAGAACCTCTCTGTTGAAAAAGCACCTAAGACCTATTCTCAGACAAATGATCAGTAAGAACCTGAAGCACTGTTCTCGAGATGAGGCTAATGACCATAAGAAAGCAGGACATTGGCTCTTCTACACTGAACCCATGGAGCAGTGCAGCTTCTGAAGCAAAAGATGACACAGTCATGGCACTTCACAAGTACACTGACACCAGAAAGGGACTGCACTTCAATATTAGAAGTTCAGTAGCTAAGTTAGCCAGGCAAGAAAAACAAGCACACATCAAAAACCTGCAAGTACTTGCTAAGACTTTAAGAAATCAAGTAGAAATCTGGAAACTAATGCAGATCTCTGATCCTTGAGACCCTTCAAGACAACAGGCCATGTAAGCTTCCCCTCCAGACTGAAAAGGAACCGAGGGTTTACATCACAAGGGAATGGCCGATTTCTGTGTTGTCATCATGAAATCTACAGATCACTACTATTCTGTCTCTTCACTAGAGAGACTGGTTTTCAGAAAGTTAAGAAATCTCAAAAGTACAAATGAGGAGAACAAAAGCTGAGATATCAGAAAAGTGATCACAACTAAAACATGAAACAGACTTCACTTTAAACAGAAACAAGAATTTCACAAAGGGCTAATCCACTAAAAAACTCACAATAGACAGATTTCTGTTATGAAGTTTGGAGAGCAGTTGTGAAGAAGAAAAAAGAAATTAATGATGCCTTTTTAAACAACACCATGCAGTTTGTGACACACGAATTTGCAACACAGAAATAAAATTAAGCCACTGTCAAAAAATGAGAATAAAATTTTTGCTGAAAAACTCAATACTAGTGATAGGACATTTCTGGCATTATAGGAAGAGTGAATTTACAGACTCAAATGAATGCCAGACAGCTTTAATGAGAATGTGGTTGAAGTGCCTGCCTAAACCAGATCAACACCACGATATGTCATCTGGTACAAACAGAGGTACTGGCATGTTTATCCCAGCATGTCAGTTCTTCTCCTCAAACCTGGAGACCAGAGTATAAGAAACTGGAAAGAAAGTATCTCTTTGGGATCTTGTAACATCCCATCATGGTACACAAACCAATTTCCTCCAAAACCTTAAGATTTCTGGCAGACAAATAAAAAGCTTTCCTATGATACTATTCAAGAACCTTGATCAATAAAGCAGGCAAATACTTGTGTGCAATTGGATGGCTGCATACCAAACCACATCCCATTCCACAAGTTACACCTCTCTATCCCAGGATAATGCAGTGTTTGAAACTTCCCTCATAGCTCTAAAATAAGACACTAAGGAGTAGACAACTGCTTAACTGAGAATTGCAGAAGAATTTTTATTCAGAAATAAGTGGACAAAATGCTCAAGTGCACTGAATGCAAATGGACATGAAATGAAGGAAGTTCAAGTCAGGATAATTAACACTGGCATCTGTTTATTCTTTTTTTTGATTCAACACTGTCCTGTATTTACAGCTGAATTTTATATTTTTATATATGCTGTGATGCAATCTATATAACTATATTAATACACAGCATTTAAAAAAATAGTGTAACAGAGCAAAACAAAACATGGCACCAAGAAGGCTTTTCCTCCATAAAAAGCTGTGAACGCTTGTCTGTCACCATCATAATAAATAATACACAATTAACCATACATAAATTGCATAAATATGCTTTTTAGTGAAAAATCCAGCAGTTATGGATACTTTAAAAGGTACTATCCACATTAAAAAGTCAGTTACACAGCAAACCTTTTCACTCATATGAGGACATTGTGACCACCTGCTTCCCCCTCTTCAAGGGTCCATGAATATCATAGTTAGTGGAGCAACCATTTTTATGGCTGTAGGACATACTGTGCACAGAATATGCTTCAGCTAAAATGAAAAGGTAAATACCACAAAAAAAATCAAAATATTTTCACTAGGGTACAATTATTATTTTTTAATATTATTAAAAATTTACACAGGAATAGAGACCCAAATTCTCTCTCATCAATTAGGAAAACAATGCAACAGCTTAATGAAATTTAGAGGCTGCAACATACTATCTTTCTCTGTAAAAGCAATACACTAACAAGCCTGACATAAAGTAAACCAGAACAATTCAAGTGAGGCCATTTCATTAAAACTAAAATTCTTACTTTTATCCTTAACTGGACTATTGTCAGTATTCTTTGGCTTCCAATATAACCAAAGGAGTGAATAAAATAGAAACTGGTAACAAGATTACACTAGTCCAAGTTGCTTCATTTTAACAGTAGTATTTCAATAATCAGTCATTAATAAGAATACATTTCTTGCAACGTTACACTACTCATTACTAGTGTTTGTGTAATAGCATCCCTGTTCTACTGGCTAAAAAAAACTAGGGGTGGTGTATTCTGGATGTATACTATAAATATCATGTAAAAATAGTATATTTGACTATTTGCAGACATAAGGAACATTTCTCTGCATCTTCACAAAACTAGATTTCGATAACACAACTATATGAAGAAATAAAGAAAAAACTGGATTAAAAGATCTAATCCCAGTAAAAATAAGAAGGTCTTATTCGTCATCATTACAGACCAGCAATAGTGCTTAGGTCTGTATTGAACAAAAGTCTTGACTTGGTCTTATACAGTTAATTATAATTTCAGTTAAAATACACAAATTAGAACTCAATTTTATGGCTAAAATCCCCCTCCTTTTCTTCTAACTGGAGCCATAAAATAAAGGAGTCAAAACTTTCGGAGCATCTACATTTTTAAGTTTTTACAAAAATCAGAAAATCAACATAACCATTAATATGGGGCCAGTTTTCAAACCCAGATGACCCAAAATAAACCAATGTCAAAAGCACATACATTGATTTGGCCTAATTTAACATACTGAGCCTGGAAACTGGATTCTATGGAAAAAGAATCCTCACTCCTATCAGTCAATAGCTACTTCTCTCAGGTGACAAGGCCAAGTCCTTATCCTCTAAATGACTAAACATGGGTTGCTCCACAAGCCTATTGCATTTGCATCACTGATTTTACCATTTCCTGGATAGGATCTGATGTTTAATAACGTATAAAACTTGTGACAAATCTAGTCTACTGAAACATAGATGGAATTCAAAAGTTAAAAAACTGAGAATTCAAACTATTTCCTGTTCACTAAAACTGCTATAAACCTACACTACTTCTGCTGTAAATAGCTTTGGTCAAAGGCAGATATCACTCACTTCACATGGTTTATGCAGTTCCACAACTTCTCTTTTGGTTGGCTACTTTGTAAAACCCACAAGATTATATACTAATTGATGATGATAATTAAGGTTTGCTCAATTCCACAGTAAAATGTAAATCCAAGTTTATGTTTAAAATATCTCAAAGTGAGAGCAAAATAGGAATTTATAAATTTAACTGATTTTATGATCTTGTCAATAACTGAGACAGCTTATTTAATTTTTCTGTGAAGCAATCCCTTCATATAAAGCAATTTGTTCACTACTATTCACTTAAAAGGTAGTGTATTTCCTGAATATGCTATGACACCACTGAAAAGAGTTATATTTTATGGTATATTTATCAGGGCAGCATTACAAAAACAGTAAGATGGAAACCAAAGGGTAAAACAGGAAATTAACTAAATGATTCTTATTTCACTCACAACTTCAGTTTCATATTGCAGGTTAAAATACAATAACTAGTTACCATTTCAGATAATAAAGCTAGTTCTAATTAAAACAAATTGCTTAAGTATTGACATTATTATAAGCCATAGAGCTTATACTCAACATTTCTAGGTGAAAACTGCATCCATTTTGTCCATGCTGTAAGTTGCAAAAGTTTGTGAGCTTTCTGAATGTTTTTGCAGTACATAAACCTTTAAAGAAAAAAGTTAACAGGGCAAATACACAATATACTAACAAACATTATTAAACTAACTGCAAAGAGTGTGTGAATTGCTGTTTTGTGCATAATTTTGCTTTTGCATTGTTTTCTATATTTATTCACCAGTGCAAGGTGTAGATTTGTTGCAAAAATAACTACATGCTGAATAAAGTGTACAATTCGGGGTCATCTGACAGAAGAGTGATAAATATTATAACGTATCAGATATAAATGCTGTAATACTTTAGTACACTGCTATAATTTAAATAAAATAATCTTTATCACTAGACATGCAAAACATCCTGGGCTTCATTACAGTTGAACATGTCTAGCTGTCTTTTAATCAGGTGTCTGCTGTTTTGACTTTTCTTTCTGAAATTAGTATCTATGTTTACTGGTCTAAGTTAGTTAGCTACACACACAACAATCAACAACAACAAAAAAACCAAACCTCACTTACTCTATTTGCGCACCATGAGCCACAAGGGCACTTATGGAATCCATACTACCAGATCGAGCTGCTTTATGAATAGGAGTTTCACCAACATAATCCTGTAAAGATAAACTACATTTTGTCAAGCATTATCTTTCTAAAAATTAAAATCTTATTGTTACATTACTCTAATTAAGAAAGCAGATACATAAAAGCAACACATAAGCTAGCAAATACATCAAGTACTTTATCATTACTTTAAAGTTTGCAGTAGGCTGCCATGTACATTAGATATTTAGCAAGAAATAACACAAAGGGCATTTAACTCACAAGATAAGCCTAACTAGGCAATCAGCAATCATATTCAGCAGAACTTGTTAACCCCCCCCCACATATAGCACCGCAACAAGTTATTCTAACCCCTTTATCTCCTAGCACTTTTGTGTCCCAATACTGTTGGACTGAGCAAGCCATCCTGAACTCAGAAGCAGCAAGGCTGAGCTTGTGGGACTGTACTGCTTTTAGATCTGGTTGATACACTTACACAGTCCTGTGTTGCTCCCTCAGTACTCAGGAGGAGAGGAGTATGTATGCAGAACTCTAACAGAAGTATGCCCAGCATTCATAGGACAGGCCAGATCTCTCCCAAGACATAAATATTGACCCACATCCTACATACTTGTCTTTTCTGATTTTCTTTGTGCATTTACATTCCATTAGTATTAACCAACACATCCAATCATTTAGTCTTTTTGCATTATGTGTAAACATACTGGGAGGCTTTTCAGGCAACTGCTCCCTACCAACCGTCTTCCCAACAGGGAGAATCTACAGCAATTTTACAAATCCAAGCAAGCAGCAAGTAAATTCCATGCATTGTGTTCTACAAGCTGCAGAGGAAATGCAGTACTTGCAGTTAACCACCAGTATTAAGAACAACAGAGAAGAATCTGTAATGAAATATTGTCTCGAAGTAGCAAGTAAATGTTGTTATTGGTTTGTTAACGTGATTTAATCATCACAATCCTTAACACTTCCAGTGGATAGCAAAGATTTTTTTTGTTTTCTTCCCCATCCTCTTTCTCTCCAAACTTCTGATGGACTTTACTGGTCTGTTTGACTAATATTAAACATATTCTAACTGTATGTGCCTCAGTTCTGCTTCCCTGTTTCTTTTATTAAAATATCAACACTAGCTATATTAAATTAACACAGCACCTTACTGACTCACCCGTCTTCACACAACAGTGTTCATGCCTAACTCTACAGTACTGGTTATACTTAAACCCTATTTGAAACGTTATTATATTCAAAATATAATCATACTACCACCTTAATAGATAGAAGTACCAAAGGTTTAAATTCTTTGCCAAGCTTTTGAGAAGTTTAATCACATCTTTTAGACCACGTAAATATAACTTGAAAATGAATTTTGGATTATGTGTTATGTACTCTCAATTTCCAATTTGCCAATTTTATTTCATGGTAAAATATTTTTATAATGAGTTCCAAATTCAATGAGTAAGCCAGTTTACCAGTGCTTAAGACAGATATTCAGCCAAACAGTGAACTACCTAGCACACCCAAGCAGGGAACAATAATGGTACCTAACAAAGTTTACTTTCTTATAAACTAAGGAAAATTGCTGAGGCTGACAAAGCTTGGAGACAGAAAAGAGCTAAAAATTCCTTAGAGATTATAAAAGCGCCATACAGCCCCCCTTCCAAAATGGCTGTCTATAGCTGATGGATAGAAGACTGCTTTCCAATTAAGTTTATGTAATTTCTCCTATTTATAAGTTTTCCTGAACTAACAGGAAGACAGAGAAGCTTAACAGAGGATACAATTACATCAACTATCATACATGCAAATTCATTTGACGCTAATTTATCTTGAAAAGTTTTCTTCCTAGTGTAATAAATTTTCCAATTATGGAAGCTCTCTTTCATTCATCGTTCTGTTATTGTTTTCTCCCCCCAATCTGCCCCTTCCCCCCCTTTTTGTTAGAGGTAAAAGTGTAGAAAAGAAGTAATTCGCTCAGCATTAGTATTTACAAAACCAATCCTCAGTTAGAAGAGGTTCAGTTTAGGGAAAGTCAGCTCAACTAGTCATGCATGTGATAAAGATGACAAAAATCTCTACTAGCCCCATAAAACCAGCATACTGTCCACAATAAGACCTAGAGAACTGCATTATGAAGTCTTGCTGCGGAGAAAGAAAAGATAAGCAAAGACCTTTGCAAAAGGACTCTTCACCACTGCATTAGCATGAGCTAAGCTTGTAGTAGTTAAAGATTCCATCGCCAAGTGGAAGAACATTAGTATCACAGAAGAGAATATATGTCTTGAGAAGGACTGCTTTCAATCACTGGCCCAGAAAAGCATGTGTGTCTAAGGCTAAGGATTTGAGAAAATACTTAGAAAATGACAGAATACATGTATTTAGATTTTTATAGCATTCCTTTTAATTACAGCACCTAAATTTCAGCCATCACTACTATTATCTTCCTTTGACATTCTCCTAAGGGGCACTGAAACAGTTTCTGAACTACTCTCCTAGCTCTGCTAAGAAATTATCTCTGGATTATGAGCTAGACTGAAAGGAAAAAATTATAGGTCACTAAAAAATGGCTTTTAAATTTACTTATTTTTTAACACATCCAAAAAGGAAACTAAAGTGCTCTGTATGAGCATCAGAACAATTCTGTTTTGATTCAACAACTGGAATCCATGTGACCAAATAAAAAACAAAGTAACAGTTTTTCCCAAGAAGTTTCTGAGAACAGTTCAAGGTCTAGCTTGTTGGTACATTTTCGTATTTTTTTAGCTATGCAGAGCAAAAGAAGTTATTTTGAGGGGCTCTACAAAGTCCTAATTATCCTTGTCAATACCTCATAATCCTTTAAATTGTTCACACTTCCCATATGTGCTTCAGTCTGATATAATCCCTTTTGTAGTAATATTGCAGGAAGGGAAGCATCAATAACTTGTATTGGTCTTTCATACCAAGAGCAGAACTTGTCAAGGTCCCATTTACCCTTCTCTTCTAACACTTGTCTCACTATCTAGAAGTTGCACTATAAATAAATACGCAGAAATGCCAATTAAGTTTCATTAATTTAGCATTCAAGATAACACATTTGTTTCTGTGAAAACTAAGTACTTTGTGTACAGTACTCCTAAAGAAATGACAAAAAATCACGAAGCATAAGACACACATTTTTTGCAACTCTCTGATGAACACCTTCTTCCTTTCCCCTGGAGAAGCATGGCTATCCTTTCACAAAGACAGGGGCAGTCTTCTCTACCTCGGGGTCATGTCTAGATTACCTTTGACTTCTTTCATTTTACTGAAGTATTTGGCTTCCTTCCTTATTGTATTTTTATTTATGTGGCTGAAGAGTCTTCTGGTTTTTTTTGCTTTAATCAGTAAATCTATCTCAGCTTGACTAATCAGTTTGCAATTCCTCACTATGCTGCTTAACCTCAAAAGACATTTCCTCTACTGATTAAGTACTTTTCTCAAACTCGCTGCTTATTCCCAGGTCTCTCTTAGATGGGGGTATTTTTTCAGTTCATTCCAAAGCCATTTTTTACTCCACTTTCCCTCTTTCTGTCTTTTTGGGACCCAAGCTTCTGTTGGCTTGAGGATCTTCCTGGTGAATTCAGAGGACATTTTCCATTTTGTTCTCCAAGTTCCAAGTCCCTGGATATGATTCAGGTAATTTCACTCACTGGTACCTTTAGTCCCCTTCCATTTATTAAAAAAAACAAACAAAAAAACCCACCCAACCCAAACCCCTCCTCCCCCCAAAATCCAAAACCAACTTACCTGCAGATATTTGTTTTTAAAATAAAAAGCTCCCATATACATTTACACTGAAAACTTTCAACTATTTGTACTGTTTTAGCTGGCACAGAGTTAATTTTCTTCAGAGCAGCTAGTAAGGTTTTTTGGTGTACTAAAAACATGGCTTTGGGCACAAATCCAAAGTCTTAGCTAGGAGTGGGCTGGGACATGGCACAGCTGGGACCACTGACCCAAACTGACCAGAGGATTATCCTGTCCCATATGACATCATGCTCAGCAAGAGAAGCTGTGGCAGGTGGGGGGAGAAGTTTGCCAGGGCTGTCATTGCTTGGGCACTGGCTGGGCATCAGTCAGCTACTGGTGAGCAACTAAGCTTTTCTGGTAGTTGTGTGAGGCTTTTATCATCACTTGATTTTTCTTGGATTTGTTTTTCTTTTCTTCCTTTTTTTACCTGTTAAATTGCCTTTATCTCAACCCATGAGTTTTCTCACATTTCCCTTCCGATTCTCCCCTCAACTCACTGAGTGGGGGGAACAAGGAGGTGGCTGTGTGGTGCTTAGGTATCTACTGAGGTTAAACCTCAACACTCTGCAAGCACTTGTAAAACACTTCCAATGATATCTCACTAAGACAGAGAAGCACTATTTTACCTGATAAGAAACAAACTAACCCAATTCCTTAACTCAACTAACTGAATTTCAAGTTCTATCAGATGATCACATTTCCAGAAGCTATTCAGATGTCTTAGACTCAGCACCCTTTCTGAAGCTAGGAAGCAGAAACTAAAGAACACTGAGTACTTTTCCTCATTCTTTGCTAAAAATGCTTTGAATTTGTGATTGTTTCTCCTTCTGAATTTTGAGTGAAAATGAGAACTGATGGGATATTCCTATCTGGATTTAGTCCAAATTGTTGTTTAAAATACAAAACTATAACAAACCAAAATAATGAGTGGGTTTTTCTCCTCCCCACCAAGGATATCAGCATGTTTACAGTTCTTGCTAGTATGGGTAATCTAACCCTCCTAAATCTGCCATCACTGTCATGTGATAACTGACTGCAGGAAAATTAAGTTGCATCATCTGTAAGGATGCAGTATTTCTTTTTCCTTCTCTTTAGGACAGGCCACACAAAACTTTTTGGCCAATCAACACAGGCAACATACAACAGACATATTTAATAGGCTGTGGCTAGAAGGGAAAAAAGTATTTAAATGAAAGCTAACAGTCTCCTAAATCAAACAGTACTCATGATTATCTGGTGTTAATATGTACAACAGCCCAGAATCCATCTGCGTTGTGACAAGGATAAAACAGAAAAAATCCTCAGGAAAAGTAGCAACATAATTGCTTTCCACTATTACAGTGAACTAGAGCAGGCAGGCAGCCAAGTGCAGGTCCTGAGTCACATTACTAAGAACTACTAGCAGGCGCTGCCCACTGAAAAAAAACCAAACCCAAACAGCAGGACATTCTTTTGGGTTCACTGCTGGGTAAAAACAGTCAGGCCATTGCTTGGCACTTTGGCTTTCCTCCTGTGCATTTTTTATGGTGAGCTGGGGGGTAAGAACTGCCCACTGATCATAGAGATGGTTCTAGCCAGCACACACAGGGCTAGGCATCACAGGAAAACTTATCTGGGGAGCAAAGGACAATCGGGACAAGCACTTTTCAGCATTTGTCCTTCACTGCTGCTGCCTCAGAAGTGTCCTGGGCAGCTGTCAAGAGCAAGGAGATAAGACATTTTTAAGTTTTCCTAAACTTTAGGGCAGGCAGCATGGGCTACAATACAATACCTCAGGGCAGATATGAGAAAGCATGCATGCAAATTCTACTGAGTACCGGAGGTTTACGTTAAAACTGAGAGACTTGAGTGGATTCCTTTTCAGAAGCTATCCTTTTCTTTTTCCAGAAGTGATGGGTTAGTCTGTAGCCAATGACCAGGAGTCAGTTTGGAAGGAAAGTTTACTAGTTTAAATATCAAGTATTCCCAGATCTTTCTCAGCATGTGTTTTGTATCCAGTGTCCATGGAACACTTGTCCTCACACAAGCATTAGCCAGTGACTATGTCTGTTTGGAGTACAGCATCAGTCAGCGAGCTGGAAGGAATAAACAAAATACACATCAGGAAATAGTGCTCCAACAGCTCAAAAGTGTGGGTGGAAGCCCTAGATAATCACCTGAAGGTGTTTGCAAGTTAAATAAGGAACCAAGATCATTTAAGGAATTGAAATCAAACAAGAGTAGTAGAATTTGACTGCAATTTAATAAATAGCTGAAGGAACTGGGGAGAGCAAAGCATGCACTGTGCTTTACATAGCCATGTATCCAACTATCTGTGGGATGAGTTTCTGCTTTAGGTATCACGAAGGCACACTGCCTAGCTTTCAGTGCTCATGCATGTGAAACCAGTGTGACTGACCAGTTGCATCCTAACAAGCAACTTGACAGACATTCTTGTTTCTACTACTATTTAAAATTAACCAGAGGTATCATCAAACTGAGTCTGAAATGCCTCTTATTGTATGTTCAGTTAGTATTTTGTGGGGGGGAAAAAAAAAAAGCTACTGTATTCAAGTGCAACTTGAGCCTACCATTAACAACACACAAGGTGTTCACAACGTCAGCTCTCAGTACCCATCTCTGTTGTGTCCTTGGTCTGTCAGTACCTAAGTCTGCCCTTAGAAGCCTATAAGATACCATCATCACTATCTGAACTCAAGAACTAAGTACTCTTCCTCCTGTAGAGGACCATTTGCTCTGCTGACAAACCACTAATATATAGACTCCCGAGTAACTGGCTTGCCTTGGTGACTTCTTTAAGCTGGAATGAGTTTCCTGCCCACTATTAACTGCATATTATACTGCCTTCTGCTTTCTTTTACAGTCATCTGCATGTTGCCCTCAGGCCATGGAGACATCTCTCCACTCTCTTCTCTTCTTCTGGAGGCTAGCTGCTACTTTCTTCTTTGCTACAACCTCACTCACTACATGTGATTTTTTTTCCCCCCATCATGTTCCGGGACAGCAAGCTTGTTCTTCAACTCCATTTCAACCTCACTGGTCAGTTCTTCTCTTTATCCTCATAGTTGGAAACTTTCATTCTTCTCATTCATTCATTTTCATTCATTCTTCTCTTCTCATTTAGCAGTTATGTGTACATCTTTATTCTGTGCATGCCATGTTTCCTCTCTAATCACCGTTTCTTTACATTCTTACCTGGTCTCCAGATGCATTTATAGTTCTTGTATTTTCTCTTCTGAAGATTCTACCACTATGCAGCAATAACTTATTGCATAAGTTACTTTTGTCAGGTATCAAGGAGAAGATGCGATCTATAGCCTCTGCATCCAGTCACCTTCATTGTTTCTACAATTCTCCTGGTGTCTCACAGCTGTTCTCAATGCACCAGCCTTCTTTTCTGAAAACTCAACACAAACTTCCCCATTTCTTATTTTTGCACAGCTTAAAAAAAAAAAGAACCAAACTCTAGAAATGCAAGTGTTTAAGTTCTTCAGCAGACTTAGCTTAACTCTACTGCATATAAAACAAAGTCTGGCCATTAAATATTTTAAGAGAAGTATGATACAACATTTAATAGGCCAGACATTTTACAGATACTGTGCTATACCACAGCTTTCAATAACAGCATATGCTGTAATATCAATTACTCTCACAGAATATTATCAAAAATACTTTTTATTACCATTAAAAAGGTATATGTTATGTATGCCCAGCATACATAATAGATTCATTCAGAACTTCAAACATTTTCTTCAAAAATATGATAGATTTTAAGCATCCAGTTCTGTTACTTCACCAGAGTAAAACAGTTCTTTACAGGTATTTTGCTATATTTATGCACTCTCTGCTACCAAATAAATTACATACTCCCAGTAAAAGTAATGCAAAATTATAGTAAAAAAAAAATTTAAGTCATCCATTCATTCTTTGTTAGTAAAGTACATGCTTCTGATCTATTTTCAAGAAGTTACTAGAAAAGCTTTGGAAATAATCTAAAAAGAAAAAAAAATATAAAACCATGTGCACCTTAAAATAAACCACAGCAGACCTTACTAGTTAGATGTGTGACTAAATCATGAAGCACCGTAAGGGTCTCATGGTTCTGTAGGTAATGGTGAATTTTCCAATTCTTAGCATATTTAGTACGTATTATGTTCCTCACTAGTCTTCCTTCTTGCCCCTAAAGCAGCACTACAATCTCAGAATATTTGCTAATGCTGCCAATACCAAAGCAGCATTACCATTTTGTTCAAGAAGTAGCAAGATGTCAATTCCTAAAACAAATGTCCTCCAAACCCTAGAAGCTTAAAGGACATTTATTAGTCCTATCTCTACTCTAATGTAAAAGGTCTATAGCTAATAATTAAGTTATTTGACTTCAGCTGATGTTAAAAATAAAGTATCTGTATGTTAATGTAAGGATCACATACGTCATAGAAAGGGATCAAGACACTTCTTCCAAAACTATATGCATAGGTGAAGTACACATGAATCCATACCTGTTTGTTTATGTTGGCCCCCACTTGGATCAACCAATTCAGGCACTGTGGATGTCCTCCAAAAGCAGCAATGTGGGCTGGTGTTTGAGCAAAACGGGTTGTACTGGCATTTACAGAAGCTCCAGCTCTTACTAACTGCATTAGGCACTCCAGCTTTAAAGACATGAGGGAATAAAACCAAAAATGTTACACAGATGTGCTATGACAATTAGCATGTGCTAAATAAATACACAAATCCAAGAAAAGCTAAACTTCCTAATAAGACTACATGGATGCAAAACAAGAGAGAATATGAGATTTAGGATATCCCCCTCCTCCTTGACTCCTCCCTCCTTTGGCTATAGACTATATCTCAAAAATACTTCTCTCCTACAAAACTGAATTCCACATTTCTTTTCAGGAAAAGGAAAAAGAGGACATAAATACTTCAGATCTAACTACAAGAGCCATTTGGCTCACTTTTGTTAAGAAGGAAAAAAAAATAATGATACTAACCAGACATCATTAGGTAACATTTGCCAAAACAAGAGCGTTGTCAGGAGATACACAGATGTACTCTCGGAAGAGTTTAGAGAAAGGCAAATCAGAAAAACACAAGATTTTTCATTTCTTTAATGTTTTCCTGGAGTGACAGAAGATTAGTAATGAAAACTAATTCTTAATAATATCTAGTATGCTAAATCTATAAAAGGAATACATTTCTCCCACCATTTCCTGTTATTACAGATGAGGAGCCGTTAAAAAAAAAACAAACAGGTTGCATGTTTGTGGCAATACAAAAAAAAAAAATTCTTTGTTTTAAAAAATTGCAGTATTTTGTTCCATTATATTCTTTTATTTTCCCAACACACTAACCAGAAGCATCAGATAACCAGATACTATTTTTAAATGTTCATAACATCTCATTTGTAGAAACTAGGCAAACCACAGCCACAGTGACCTCAACTTGCAAAAGCAGTCAAAACAAGGCTCCTTTCCTGTCACACAGTAACATTGTCTTCTTGTTGAAAGGAAAAGGAATGCACTATGCTGAAATAAACAGTTTAGTCTAGGCATCCATTAACCTCGGTTAGAAAACAAACACCACTGCACACACACATAATAATCCCACGTTGGCTCAAGGCATTGGTTCATATAACCCAAAAATCTATGGGTCTCTCTGTCTCTCACAGTTAAAGGAAACATCAGCCATATCACAGCTGTGGAGTACTCTGTCCATAAACGAACAATTAAAAAGCACCCCAATGTGGGCTTGCAGCTTGATTCACACAGAAACATCAACAGCACAATTACAACATTCTTTCTGTATGTCAGCCTTTCTTTCTCCCTCTTTTAACCTGTGAATTCCTGACACTGTTGAATTACATATATGAGGTAACTACCAACCACTGTAATTAATCATTTTATATTAGTTTTGCAAATACATTGTGAACTTAAATTGTTTTCTTCCCTTACACAGTCCAAACAAACACATATGAACCCTATCCTTAGGGTTGTACATCCTTCAGGATATACAAAAGTACTTTTTTTGCACTGTAATTAAGTTAAGGCTGGACATAGATCTACCATTAACTCCCTAAGTGCATGAAGTAAGGGTGAGAGCAACTGGAATACTGTCGTACTAATGAATAAAACTCAATATCACCAAAGACAAAGTACCTTTCCAAAAGAAAACAAGCACTTTTTCTGGAAAAAAAATTACATCAAAGAACTGGTGTAAGCAAACATATAATTCTAATGCTAGACTACTCAAATACATTTTGTGTTTGCCAATCTTAGACTTTCCTTGATGTTCACATGTTAGTACCCTTAATATTGCTGTTAACCCTTAGTAATTATTAATTAAATTGTAACACTAGTTATTGTCATGTGATGGGAAAAAACCTCCCGCTACACCAAGAGCATCTACTGCAACTGCAAACAAAAATAAATTTCAGCCAGTTTTTAAAAAAATAGACTTTGAATGGAGTTAATTTGAAAACACTTTAGACAAGCATTACAAATTCAGGAAAGAATAATATTTCCTGCACAGGCACCTGTCTGAAAGAATTCCATAATTAGACAGGTATTACAGCCCATCAACTGAAAAGGGAAAACCAGAAACTCATTCACTAGCGCTATTTGCGCTGTTTAAATCTGTTCTATAAGATGGTTACACGTCATGATTATCTGTACAACTTCATCTTTAAATGTTGGCTTTGCTTGCCTTTTTTTTTTTTTTACATTCTCCGACAGTGCTTTAAGAATGAAGACATTTCAACTCATTAAAAGCTGAAGTGTGGGTCTCCTGTAACATGGCTGTCACAAAAACGTGCTTCTTCCAACATTACGGAAGAATGAGGTATAAATGTAATTACATCCACAGACAGGAAAAGTCAACATGACAAAAAACAATACCTCACTTGATAATTTATGCTTGATATCAGGATACACAAGTCCACTTTCATTAAATAACCTAATTCAATATAGCAGATATTTTCCACTGTATAACTTAAAGCAGAGGTTAAATTGATTTGGTCAAGAATAAAGACAGGTCCCTGTATAGGCCACAACAGTGGCCAAGGAAAAGATGGTCATTTTTATCTGTACTACTTTTGTTCCAAAAGCAACAAAATGTACTTAACACTATTGTGCTTCCTATAATGTAAATAGTCAAATGGGAAAAAAAAAAGCAGAAGAGCACAAGCAAATAGATGTTGTTGGAGAAAATAAAAATTCACATGCAACTGATTAAAAATTAAATTAAGGTTAGTCCAAAACAAAGTGAATTAACAGTGACTTCTTTTTTATGCAAGCCCTTCATTTTCTACCTCTCTGGTGGTTTTTTTAGACTGTTAACAATTCTACATTCTGACCCATCGTCTCAGAAACCTACAGAATGCCAGGATAATTTAGGGCACTACATGATTAACTCTAATTAGAATACAGCAACTCTAATGGGAATTAATTCACATCTCAGGAGACAAGTAGTTCTCTGCAGTCAGGGAATGTCCTGAAAATGCAAACTCCACCACAGGTACTCCACACAGCAAGTAAATTTGGACTTGCTACTAACTCTAAAAGGAGGCCCATGTTGTCATTAAAACCCCAGACATTACAACCAGAAACACTACTTGCAATATCTATTATGTCCAATTGAATTTGCTGGTATTTTATTTATTACTTGCAAGCTGTAAAAGTATGTTTCAGAATAAGTTATTCAAGAATACTGTTTTCATTTTTAGTCTTAAGAGACTTCACTTTTACTGGTCCTAGTGTTACATCAGTGTTCCCCCCTACCTTTCCTCTTTTGCATATTCATTTATAACCAACTTGACTGCTGTTGCCACTTCCTTACTGAAGCACATCTACACCTTTGTGCAAGAATGTAGTTGTACACAGCTTAACTCTAAAATTATTTTGTATTGTGTTTTGATACAGTTCGGGCCATCTTTCACGTTCAACCTGTACAACAGGTAAAGGGACAGAAACATCTCAATGCTCGTAAAGTTCACCAAACCCAGACTCTTGCTGTTTGTTCACGTACACGTGTGTACATGTATGGACTGGTTTAGATGTCGCTGCTTAGGAGTTGTTCCAGAGGGATTTCTACCAGAAAGAACTACATCAGTTTTGTCATTTCATCATGCTACAGAGCTGCAGTTAGAACCAATACATGTCTGGTGGACCATGTTACTAAATGGCCCTATATCAGATAGACAGACATTAAGTTCTGTCACCATTTAATTTCTTTCAGAAAAAAAGAAAAAAAACCAAACAAGTAAAAATCCCATGAAATCTAAAAAACCAAAAAAGTGAAGAGGAAGATTCCGGTTCAGTAACTATTAATGAACACTTCACAAATTAATATTTGATATCTATGGTACTTTGATAAACAGAAGAACTCTCCATTTGGCTTTGATGAAAGTGAATTTGGAAAAAAAAAACATAAATAAGAACATAAAACATGCACCTCACTGTCCACTAAAAGCAGCTACTGTGTCACTGCTAGCAACAGTCTATTAACTGGTGAAAGGTAAAAAGAGTGTAACTATGCCACAGAAACACAAAGCCTGATTTGGGACCCAATTACACTACTTTAACTTTTTCAATGTTTTGTACAATCTTTGACTCTGGGAAAGGAACACTACCTAACAAGACTATAAAAGATACAGATAACTTCCATAAATTGAAATTGCCTAGATCTGAAGGCTTTTAGGAAAGTACATATATGCAAAATTGTATAAAACCCATTTATAGCCTAGGTCATCTTTCCAAGTCTCATTCATTTCTCAGATTTTTCCCCCAATAAGTAACAACACCATCAATCAAATTTTGCCCATACCTAAGACTGAGTATGGCAAATAAAAGCACGACAGGTTGCAGACTGACTTGTTCCCTTTGTTTGCTGTTTCTGCAAGTGTCTCTTCAACAGAAACTGGAATGCACACAAAAACTCACACAGCCTAAGATGGTTGGCAGAGAGCTGAAGATGCTTAAAGAAAAAAAAAAAAACAATACAACATCTACACTGTCAAGGCAAAAGCAAGGCTGCCACAAGCTAGTACCAAAAAGAAATTCTTATGAGATGGAAAAAGGAAACAGAGGACCGTAACACGGATTACTATCTTCACATTTTATATGAGTGTACTTCCCAATAAAATTTAAGGCACTCCAGTTTTTCCGGAGTGTAGATTATTAGCTTCTTTTTGAACACATAAAAGGCTGGTTTACATTTTGGATTTTGGGGGTTAAGGGTTTTTGTTTCACTTTATTTTAGGACTAAAGGACTACTTAGCTATGCTTCTAAAACGTTTCTCTAAGAAGCACTGCAAATAAGATCATGCAATATATAGAAACCATGTCTTAATGTACTTTTATAAACCATGACAACTGCCTAAGTATATCAATCTTTTCCTCTGGCACACAACCAATAAACAAATAGAAGTATATTGGAAATGGGAGGGAGAACAAGAACAAAAGCCCCTCGAATTCCAAATCTAGACAAAT